TAGTTTTTATCCCTCAACTGAATAATTCACCATCATCATATGAACATAATTTTACTTATTCCGAATAAAAGGAAATCAGGAATGACTGCAAATACATTCATTTTTCATTTATGCACTACAGTATGATATTATCTGGGCAGTACGAATAATCCATTTGGAAGTAAAATGATATGTTTCAATATTTTATATCATTTATATTTCATTCATCAAGCATAAGAAATACATAGAACATCGCAGTAAATTTGATGCTAACATAAACATAATTAAGACAATAATTAGTACAGAGTGTGGAACGCCAGAAAACATTGATCAAAATAAATTACTTCGACACATGTTTTATATTGTTTGGGGAGTAGATAATAATTTCATTAAATAAACTGATAAAGATTCACCGTCATTAAACGATATATCGTATTGATTATTGTCATTATGGATCTTTCTTTAAGCATATTTATAACAATTACATCAAGATTCACTTTCGCGAAATTTGTCATTGAATATAGCGGTTCCATCGAAATGGTTAATATTAATACTGCAGATAAAAATTGATCTCTTAAACATGTACCGATTGACGTGTTTTACTTAATTATAAAAAGATTTAAGATATTGTAATTGGATTGGATATTTATCCCTATTTAATTGCATTCTATCAGCTTATGCAAGTTAGCACTGTGTTCTAAAATTCATATCTGTTTTTACTGAGTCGAACTAAATTCGTCTCAGAGCACCACACTTAATACCTCATTCTTGTATTTAACTGAAAAAAAATGTAAGAAACGTGGAGAGAAACGATATTTATTTCACTTTTGATGCCTCTAGATATAGTGCTCCAACACTGCAGTGATGTAAGTCCGTTTTAATTAGGTCGCAGTGAATTCTCTTAACATCTTTGACTGTACAATAAGGACAACGTTTTAACTACAGTTTAAGGAATAGGAACTAATCGAACTGTCAGCTTTTTATTATTTTGCCACACGAATTGCATTACTAAACTAATTGACAATTAAAACATATTTGTAAAGCAAACACAATCTGTGAAATATTGAGTTCACTATATTATCATCAACATAGTTCAAAATCCTTCCGTGATGCCTACGATTGAAACCAAAATGGTATAAACAATATATCTTTTGATTATTAAAAGTGAGTGTTAATTTCGACATAATTCAGCAGCAGAAACTAAAATTACCAGAAACAACGAGAACAATCTATTTAATCAAAATCTGCGATGTTACAGATGGCTGGTTAGTAATTAATGAAAGTCAACAACCGTAGTTTATTGCAAGTGACGACTTGGTGTCAGAGTTAAAAATAAATCATTTTCAACAGCATGTTCATGTAACTATATAAATATGTCTCGTTGCAAATTTCTAAATCAAAATTCGTTTCGTCCTTGCACGAAAAGCAATGCAATTGTTGAATGACCAACTCTATGACGAGCCGTATATAAAACTATTCAATATAACTCTTACAGTTGGTCGCTTCTTAGAAGAAAGCGCGAGGATATGATTATTTGATATTCCTTAATTATCGCATGGCTGCGAGCTTTTCCTTTGTTCTTTCTAACCCATTATACTCAGTACACTTCAATGAACATTTCAAAACTGTATTGATATATAACAGTACAGTTTTTTCATTGATTCATATAGGAAAAAAAACTCGACTGTTATATATCGGTTGAGTTTTTTTTCGCACCTTGTATATATCAATACAGTTTTTTCATAGAGGCTCCAATGGGGCAGTGGTGACGACCATTCCCAGTAGCAAAAAAAAAAATAATAAAAAAAATGAAATCAATAAAATAAAATACAAGAAAAGTATTGATGCAAAGCATCAAAGGGCGTCCAAGCAAGAAATGCAGAAAGTGAAGATGAACTATAGTAGACATATGATGACAAGATATTCTTATAAACTTTTCAATGGTTAATTTGTTTTTACCAGAATGAACGGACGAAAGACATTGTTCATTATGAACTTTGATTGGCATGCTAGAGATTAGAATATTAGATCTACTTGTTATTTCTTTATGATCGTGATTATTAATAGCAACGGATATACATGTATACCATCATTTATAATCCATATGTGTTACGCATGATCAACACCACACTTGTGGAATTGCCTTTTATTATGTTATCGCTATTATCGAAAACCCTCTCTTAAGGTATCTGTTCACACTTAGTATGACACTGGTTATATTACCATGTTGATCATGTTGAGCATAATTGTTTATTATAAATTAATTGTAATATCTATTTTAATATAAAAAATACAGATTTATTTAATATTATTATTATATAAAATTTATGAATATTGTTTTTCTCTCTTTTTTGTGTTTTATGTGGTATTTTAATACTGAGTTTTTACGTTTACTGCTCTTTTTTATCAAAATTGTAAAACAAATTTTAAGAACTCAATTGTCATATTGACCGACGATTAAAGTCAAAACTTAACTGGAAAAGGTCAATAAATTATGCTTAACCTTTCAATATATAATTTTGTTTATTCTTAAACAATGTACATTTGTATTTTACTTTATCATTTTTTAAATTATCAATCAATTGAATAATTCATAAAATCTAATTTGTAACTTTGAATAATTCCTCGGCATCTTTACTAAACACGAATAACAAATTAAATAAAATGTTTCAAAGTTGATAATGTCATATTAATACCATAAAATGTACCTTTTTCTCAATTATTGCACATATTTATTGTTTTTATCTCATATAGATAATAAAATGAACCATGCTATTTGTATTTATTAATTATTGTAACCAAACTAAGTGACAAACATTCATTTTGGAAAAAAAAGCTTATTTATCTGTAAAATATTTGTTCTGTTCTGTAACGATATCAAACATCTACTCTAAAACCGGGAGAGACCGGACAATAAACGTGTGATTCACTAGTAAATCCCGGTCAAAGTAGACCGGGAGAGACCGGGAATTACCGATAGCAGTATATGCCTCTATAAATAGATTTTCGGAATATTTAGGTCATCAATTCATCATTCTATTTTAACATGCCATAATGACCCACTGCGTACTACAAAATGATAATAAATAAAAAAACGAAGAGACGGAAAAGGTTATTTCATGCATTGCGAAATTCTCCAGTTCGCTATTCATTGTGCATATCGAGACATTTTTTTTAATCACCGATCGGAATGATCGGCTTTTATTATGGCCGACTAAAAGGCTCGAAAAGTTGCTGTCGCCCAGTCACAAAATCTGATTTCATTCCATAAGTGCGCCGCGCTTCGGCGCGGACGCCAAAAATATATAATACAATGAAAAATATAAACAAAGATAATTAATGAAATGAAAAAAGCCCTTTAATCTTAAATCAATCTTGGTAACAGTATACAATCCGCCTCTTATATTGGATGTCTTTTGTATATTTTTTTTGCGGCAGCGAAAACAACTTGAAAAACTGCCTTATGATAAATAACTTTAATGTATCTAACGATTAATTTATTTATTTGTTTCTATACAAAAAAGAAAACATGCCATTGCGATAAAACAGTTATAGTATATGAAACTCGTTAGTTACGGGGGTATAACACTGGCTGGGGCGACATCTCGGGATGTTTCTGCAAGAAAATTGTCTCGGCCTAACGGCCTCGCCATTTTTTAGCAGAAACACCCCTTGATGTCGCCCCAGCCAGTGTTATACCCTCGTAACTAACTCGTTTCATATACTATAACTATTACGTAAACGTCGATAATACTTATTAGTGATTTCAAAATACATGTTCACCGAATTTCGACACTAATACTTTCACTTAGAAGTAATGTTACGAGACGTTGCTTACATTATGATTGTATTTACATTAAATATTCTTGTATATTTCTTTCATTCATTATATTCATTCACGTGTCATAACTTAACGTAAATCACAGCGTTTCAGGGGTAAACGAGAACTTGGATACACTCATTTTATCACGGTCTGAAATTGCCCTGAAACATAAATCTCTATGACCAGTTGATAACTAATTAAAGAGTGATTAGACTGTTTTACTACTGAAGGAACTGACCTTACTTTTGCTATATATTTTTGTACTTCGTTCCGTTTTCAAACATATAACCCATCGGCTCTTCATTTTAGTAGTCAATTCCAATGTTGTATTCAAAGGGAGACACAGGCAAAATTTCCATTCATTAGTTTTGAATTTTTCATTAATTATTCTGTAAATGTCCTCAAAATGAATACGCTAGACAGGCAAAGGAATAAAACTCTCCTCTAAAGAATAAAATGGTGGTTTCCTAACTTGACCCGCGTGGGTCTGGTTAGAGCGCTCGGATTTAACAATGATTGTCAAAGTGAACCCTGGAAACTTTAAACGAACATGTCAAATGCATGACTTAGACTTGTTTCAATCATACAATATTCACAAATCTGTTATTGTAATTTCAATGACTTGTTTTAAAAATATTCGGAGATTCTGCTGGCGTCTACATTTCGTTCAATATATATAGATATATTTAAGTTCGAACCCAAAATATATAGAATTTATACAGAAACTCATGCTGTGACTTTAAGAAATGTCATTTAGCGTGATTTGATTAATATATTTTGCCATTATTATGCCTGAGTATCCCTTTCAACTTAACTTTTATACTGGGGTTATCCCATCACATTCCTGCCTCAATTTCCATACGATAGACACTTACAATTGAAGTTTCTGAGACGTGGAAAAAGTACACGCATAAAGTATGCGCTTATTCAACTTGACGAACATAGATTTCAGTCAATTTTAAAATATAGCGTTTAACTATAAAGTATTTGCTCATATTTATGGTTCAATTCGGTGACCAAAGTGATGTCTAATGTTGTCAACTAATACATCTGTTGATTATGACTGTCAAACCTTTAGAGGTATTATGAAGTATTTTAGTTTTTATTGCATACGGGCGGACACTTTTCTCACAACTCAATTTGTGTCTAATTGTGACAAAAATGGAGTTGTCATTAACAAGGAAGAACAAAATGGTCGAACAAATTCGATATAAAATCCATTTATAAAGACAAGACTTTGGTTATGTACTTGAATACTAAATAATACAAAATAACGAAGCCTTAATCTGGAATATTTCACAATCAACGCTAACACAGACATAAACGAAATCAATATTTGTATCCAAGAATATAAATTAACTTCTCAAATAGTTTACATTGTCTTTCAGTGTTGTACAGACTCAATCAAACCGAGTCTGCAATTCTCTTGTAATTTTGTTGTGATTAATGCTTCCGAGGGATCACTTTCTTTCCGTAATTTCATAGTTGGCTGACATTCATTTGTTATCAATATTCGCGTTAAATCTATATAATTAATTTTTTTTATATTGCATGACTTTATTTCATTTTGCTTCTTTGAACCAAGTTATGGAGAGATTGTACAAATGACGGAAAATATTCAAGATACATAAATACCAAAACGATACTACCTTGTATTCAAAACAAAATTTTAGTTTCTTCATATCGGGCTTTCTTCTTTACAGAGTTCAACTCTTAAATTGTTCCTTTTTTCGTCATTCGTTAAGGTTTTCATTTAGTAACTGTTTTTTACTTTATTTCTCAATCCTATCTCAAATAACACCGGACCTTTATGCTGCGGAAGCCCTCGTACTGAATTTAATTCCGAGACCATCAAATAATTATTTGTGTCTCTGCAGATATTAATGCACGAGGCAAGTTTGTATTTATATGCGAATGGTAAAATAGATAGAAATAAAAACTCCTCAAAGAACGCACAAAACGACAAAATTGAAAATGTTGCAGGCTCGGTTTGATTGAGCCAGTTCATGAACGGCAATGGAAAGTGCAAGTTACCGTCCACGCCCTTTAGCACCGGCTTTAGCAGTATTCAACATTTAACATGAAATGGTAAAATTTGGAATCTTGAAACATCCGAAACTGTGCTTATATTGCGGTCATCATGGAACCTTCAATGTGACATATAAGTGTCATTCCATGAAAAGCGGCATATAGCCCCCAAGTAAAAAATGCGTTTGCACTAGACGGAAACTAAATAAAATTGAATTTCGAAAGGGGATCAGAGGTTATGAAGCCTGTTAACCATTGATCAATAAAAAAGACATAAAATAGCCGTGACAAAATTTAATGTTTGTAAGTGACTTTTATTTCATTAAAAATCATTCTAAATCGTTGAATTTTAGTTAACTGGAAATTAACAGGAACCTAAGTTACCGTATTTGCCTGCATAATACAAATCAGACTGCCTGATGTAAATTTGTCTTCTAAATAATACATGTCACGTCTAACAATGGTATATCTATGACATTTTCACACACGACAGACCAATCATTCGTTAGCGGTATTGCATTACCATAATTATAACGGCGATGGCGTTCAAAAGTTAGCATTGGCATAAACCGTAAGGTTATCTTATTAATGAAATACTTTAAGGTTACCCGTGGCGCAATGTATTCAAATAAACATGGTAACTTTGTTTGTTTTGTTTGTTTGTTTCATTTTACGCCTTTTCCCAACAGTATTTCAGTCATATATGCGGAACAAGGTAACAATCATATGTATATGTCACATGGAGCAGGTACGACAATCTCCTGCATTTATATCAGATCTTTTTGCAACTCTTGGACTATTTTTAATTTCTCAAAATATAATTTATCAAATCACATATAATGTAGGTATTGATAATGACTGTATATTATAAATTTAAAGTAAATCTTCGAAGAAAAAAAAAGAATGAAAGGAAAATTCAAAGTTCAAGGAGAAGGTAATTCTGAAAATATGGATTCTATATATATAAACCTTGTCATATTATAATGATGTGTGCATTTGAAGTAAATCCTAAAAGCAATGAGGAAGTTTGAGTAAATAATAGTAATTTCTAGAAAGATAAGAAAACTAAGTTCAAGGGGGACATAATTCTTGAATTAGTCAAGCTAGAGTATTAAACCTTCTTTCAAATAATTTGAGTGATAATTAGAAACATATAAATGAAGTTTGAAGCATATGCATTAAGAAATGAAAAAAGTTATGAAAAAAACAAAAAAAAACAAAAAAAAAAAACAACATTTTTTCATGAAAATTCTTAGTTCAAGGGAGGACAAAGATATCAAAAACCAAAACAAATGTAAATAACAATACATATTTCGCTTTAAAAGCTTCGTCAGCTGCTACTTAACGGAAATGACGTAAACGAACAGACGTCTATGATGTTTTGTGCTAGTGTTGTAAACCTTGTCACATATGACGTGGTTTATGATCAGAAAAATGTAATTGATGTTTGAAGTAAATACCTTAAATAAAAAATTTATACTGAAGAAGCGTAAACACTAGAATCAGAAATCTTGACGAGGTCGCTGACTCCCTATAGTCAACATTACAGCAATCTGTCCATTTTGTTAGTTTCATAAAAATGTCTTCATTACTTTGAGAAATCACAAATATTGTTATATCTGCCATAATTTAAGCCTATTTGTTTCAATATGAGAACAAAATTCCACAGGGCAAGGCGATGTTGTAGAACGGAACCCCGACATAATTCAGTGGCACCGGCAAGGTATCTAGTAGAGTATCGAACGAAAAGTAGGTAATGACACCAACGTTAACAGTTCAAGTCTCAAAGTTTCAAAAAGAAAACGGCAATAGTTTTACTTCAAATACAAATATTTAATTTTCTTAGTCACTTTTATAATCCCGCTTCAATATAATGTTTATTTTAAATCAGTATAAAAAATTTGGTATTAGAAAGAGAGAACAGAATAGGAACTGCTAAACACTAAAGATATCGGAGTTATTAGTTCCCATGCTGTCTACGTTAGCTATATCAGCAGGCGACAATATGTACATTCTGTGTACCAAAACATCTCCTTGGCACGTTTCCTGTAAAAGAAAAAAAGAAATACAAGTTGTAACTTTTTTTAAAGTTATAATTAAAGCAGTCATGAGATGATTAAAAAGTCAACCTAAAATATTATTGACATTCCATTACTTTCACTTCATAATATACATGTATATGCCAATTAGTTAGCTACTATAACAGTAATGCCTTAAGTGCTTAATTGCTGACATTTTACAGCTATAGAATAAATGACTTACTTATAACGAACATGTATTGACTTTTAGATACAACAACCTCTAGTAATTTGATATTAAGAATTGTTTGGGAACAGATATAAAGTTTAACGCTTACGATCATTTGAAAATAAGTATTTTGAAATAGTATTGAATGTATATCATTACAAATAAAAAATGAAAATAATTATACCACTCTGAATGGAAAGTTCGTCATAGCAGATTCAAATCTAATTCGGTACTCTCTGGTGTTAGGCATTGCCTGAAACCCAATATTGGTAAAGAAGAATGTAGTAGACGCGCAGATTATTGGATATTTGATGATTTGATGTACATGTGTATGTCCCCAGAAAATTGTATATGTATTTCTTATATACGCAACTTAACGCATAAAGTGTCAGAATGGCTTACCTCTAGAAAATTATTGATGTATATCAACATATATATTATATTCTGAGACAGATGTTAACCTAAGTGCAATGTTGATTGATGATGGTAGATACTATATGCAACAGAAATATATGAATACAAATTATACTAACGAAAGCTTTCAATGATTGTCTGTAGATTTATACTTTAAAGTATGTTGTTTTCATTTTGCCTAATGTTAAATACATGTTTATATTCTGGTATGATCAACTTTAAAATTGTTCTTCCGCACATTTGTATATAAAATTTATTTATGTTATTCATGGGACCACTTAAATAAAGCAAAGTAAAAGAGAACTATTTTGTATGCACAAGTTGACAAAAATGTGTGTTCGTTGCCGCAAGCATAAATAAATAAATACAATAAAATAGAAAAATAATAAAAATATAAAAAAAGTTGGCTACCATATGAATTTACTACTATAAGCTATAAAACAAAATAGGTTTTATTCTTGACATTTATTCATTCATATATTTCGATATGATAATAAATTCTGATAATAAAATAAGCATATGATTACATCAAATTTAAATTGAAAACACCATTTAAAATGTAAGCACATAGTACTGCAAGCCTAAAAAAGGTTATGTTTGTCATTGAAAATCATACATTCTGCTATTGGCAAAACAACGACACATTTATAAAATGCTACAGATAAGAACTAACAATAAAACAGTTGTTTATGCTTAAATACGGTGATTACTATAGTTAGATATATTTTGAAGTAATTGAATTATCCTTAACTACATTGATCTGTATATTTATTCATATTTATTCCTTAAGTAAATCTATCATTAAAACATACATTTAATATCAACAATGTTATATGTTTATTATCATTAAACAAATATATTTACATATTTTTAAAGTTTATAAAGAATAACTCACATCAAGCCTTTGAAAAGCATGTTGCGATGTTAAAATCCTGTTTTCAATTTTACCAAGTGCGTCAGCTATGAGGTCCCTTGCATCCAAAGCTTTCTTTGAGTTTCGGTCAATCCTTCCCCAAATGTCTGAAGAGACAAAAACAAAGCAAATACTTGAAAACACGGCAGACATTAAAAACATTTTAAGATAAGCCGGCTGCATTTTGCTCTGTTATCCTTTTATCTTGTCTTAACTTCTTGCGCATGTGTTACCTAACAGACAACCTGCTAAAAATACCATTGTTTATAAACCTAGCTATCCAGATTTGACAGCCATCAACAAAAACGGACCATTTAAATAAACAATTCAGATACGTAATTAAATAACTATAGCGTTGAAATGTGCATATGTAAGCAAAGTAAAATATTAATATATGCATTTAGTAGTTATCTCAAAAGATAACGCTAAACAATAAAATTCCAAAATAAGTTTCCTCTCCTTGAACTGACATTTTACAACAATACAAAACAAACAAATTATACAGTTTTATTTCATGACTTGACAAATACTGCTTATATGATGCCTAAATTAAAGCCGCTTGCCTCTAAATAAGAACACAATTCAAAACATCATATGTCATAAAATGAATAATTTGAAGAGTTCGTGAAATATAACATAAAACAGGTGATTTAAAATGGTTGATGCATTTTTATTACACCATTGTTCCTATCTGTAAAACAATATCTTAGATTTGCTATGAATTTAAGTATGATTTTTCTGGATTCAATAATTTGCATACATTAGTAGATTGCCTGCAACATTTTTATTTTAAAAAGGTGGCGTTTATATTTGTTTAGCTAGTGTTTTTATACAAAACAAATGATAATTGCAAGTATATAAAGTATTTCTCTCGAAGAACGTGTGGCTTAGTAGTTTCTATTATACAAGCGTAATAATAATACTCATAAAGATCGCAGATATTTGTTATACAACGTTTGTACCATTGTGACGTCACAGTTTATTGACATGACGTCATAATTTTAGGTTTATTTTTCATAAGCTAGTTTCTATATTTACTCGGAAGACACACACGTGTGCTGCTTTGTGTCAGCACTTTACTATCTAGTTGGGAAGAATAGATGTAGATTTAAGAAGGGTAAAAAGTTGCCCCGTACTTCACTTCAGTGTTGTTATATTTTTCTGGTCCTTCGGGATCATTGATGTCAGCACTATTAAGTGTTGAGAATGGGGTACCGCTCAAGCCGGTGCTAGGGGGCGTGAGGGATGTTGCACTTTACATTATCTCTCATGTACAGACTCAATCAAACCGAGTCTGCAGTTCTCTTGTAATTTTGTTGTGATTAATGCTTCCGAAGGATCACTTTGTTTCCAGATTTTTGCACTCTATGATATAGTTTTAGTAATTTAAAAAATCTTATCTTACTCCATTACTGCTTAGTCATTTCTTACTTATTTCTTATATTTAATAGAAATGGTCAATAATGGAAGGTCTTTAATAGCATGAAACATGTTGAAAGTATTAAGTTTTATACATCACAACAAACCAAGAAAATAAATATACATGTCGGTAACTGATATGCACATAATCAGAGGTGACAAAAATAATCGTTGTAGGACAAACTATTTTCAAACTTATAATATAAAATCATTTAGGACTCTATCAACACATTTAAATAACCTACAACTTTATCAACATTTTTGTCTATGATTATAATATAAGACTATCCAGATGATTTATGTCTATCGTACTTATTGTAGAACAATTTACCTTACGTTTATATTTCAAATTATTGTTTTATTTTTCTTTTGGCATTTAAAGCTAATTATTGTTTGCACTTTTGCGTTATCATATTTATTTTGGAGCAACAAATGTCATTTAACTAAACACGTTTCTGTCGAAACGTACGTGGAATTGCTATTAATGAAAACCGACCATAGATAGAATGATATAATTCTGAATAATTTAGTACGCCTATTGCATAATAACTGCAATATTTATGCAATTAAAATGACAAGATTTTATTTATATAACATATCGTGTTTATATAATTAAGTATGTAGGGATTTTTTGTGTTGTTTTTTTTCTCTTTTTTTTCTTTTCAATTTTACATTTCATTGTTTATAGTTACTGTAGAAATGTTGACAAATTTTATTTATTTCAATTCAAAAATACAATGACTAATTAATACATCAAAGAAAATATTTAATCATACTAAATTTTAAGGTTATACTTTGATAGATTCAAATTTATTTGAAATTAAATAACACAATTTTCCACAGAGAAAACAAAAGGGCGTAAAATGATCCTGATAAATGAGCTTGAAACAATGACTTTAGATATATCTGATAATAATTTGCGTCAAATATCATAAGATTTATATACAATTAAGACCAAACAATGTATAACGCCGTAAAATATAAAAACATTTGCTATTTTTACATGATTACCTTACATGTTCACCGGGGAGGGTTTTTCGATACACAGAAATGCAAAATGAAACAAATATAACTACTTTAAGGCTGCATTTGTTCTGATATGTCAACATAAATGTGGAAAACAGAAAATGTGTTTGAACAACTATTTCATTTGAATCGGACTAGTGAATATAACATTTTGTATGCTATTTTTGCTTTTGCTATAAAACTATTATCTGTATTCATGATTGTTTGGACATGTTGTTTTCATATTTTTGAAACAGCATGGCACAAAGGCTATTTTAATGAAATCATTTTGTCTTTTCAGCAACCAAAGAGTGTTTGGTAAGCCTGACGGCAGAAGCTGAAAGTAATATAATTATACAACACTATTCTTATTTTGAAAAAAGAGTACTAAGCAGTCTGCATGATTTATTTTGGAAGACACATTTTTGTCTGTACTATTTGTTTTGTACTTTCACATTCTTAAATGTATTTTTAGGATAAATTGGCTTTTCATTTGAATCATATCGTTTTTGAGTGAGTAACAAAGGAGTTTTTTGTAAACAAAACAGCAGAAATATTTCATGAAATCATGATGTGTTCTGCTTTTCTTCGATAACCTCAAGTAATGCCGTAAAACACTCATTCAAGGATATGTCCCTTATGTTCCATTAATTCATTAATTGACATCGACTAGACAAATAGACGTAGACAATTGCATATAATAGGATTATTTCGTCCAATACCCTTCAGACTATTAAGTTACAGACAAATCTTTACTTTTTCCTCGTTTCAGATTATGTAAAGAATAATGTTAAAACACTACAATACGTCCTGCGAAAAGAGTTTTTCTTATATAAAGGAATGACCAAAATTATTCATTAACAACAGCGTTCAAATTTTCAGTTGGTTTCTGATAGATTTTACTGATATTCATTTGGATTTTCGTATAAAATGTTGTTTGAAAAAAATATATGTAAATAAATTTCTATGAGATTTGAATTACCATTCTGAATATTAATAATATTTTGTTCTGGATCACTTTATTATCGGCTACATAAAGAAAATTATATGTTGTATCGTGTAGACAGCTGCCAACAACCTCCATGATTACCTTATCATGGTTCCTTGATTATATCTTATACTAAATGCTACCAAAGTAATTACACATTGTATCACATACATTACATCATAGACCAATTCAGTTAATATTTTAGTCCATTTTTCCCAAGTTTGAATATCTTAAAATATGATTGTTCATATGAATGATCGGGAGGCATTTGGTTTTAACGATTGAGCCGCATCACGACAAAACCAACATAATGGGTTTGCGACCAGCATGAATCCAGACCACCTGCGCATCCGCGCAGTCTGATCAGGATCCATGCTGTTTGTTATCAGTTTCTCTACTTGAAATAGAGTCGGTAAGCGAACAGCATGGATCCTGATCACACTGCGCGGATGCGCAGGCTGGTCTGGATCCATGCTGGTCGCAAACGCATTACGTTGCTTTGTCGTGACGCGGCTCATTTATGCTTTTTTACGTGCCAAACGATAATTCTGTTAATTCATCCAGAATTTTGATAGGTTTTATATTAATTTGTAAATAATACCATATACTTTAATTCAATTTACAACTCAATATTTGAACCTTGAATATAACGAATCATATATTTAAATGTGTTATATTCAAATTATATTGCTTTTAGTTAAATAATTCTGCAGCAATTATTAATGAAAAAGTACTATATCTGTAAACAAGCAAATGCAAATAAAGCCAATTTTTGTACTATTTCAATACATTTGAAAAGTAAAAATGATAAATCTAAATATAAAAAGTGATGCGTGATGTTCATGTTTAAATGATGAACTTAGCTGAAGCCGGTGCTAGGGGGCGTGGATGGTAGTTTGCAATTGACAGTATCGTCCGTTTTAAATTATGCCGTTTAGACTTTCTTAAGGATTCTTATTTTCTATTTTATATGTCTGAATTAATCTTATAGTAAAAGATGAGTTCAGACCTAAAAATAAGACGGTCAAACAGTTTATAGTATTAATATCAAAATATGGCTTAAGAAAATCAATGATTTCTTTTTTGAAATTAATTTAAAGATGTAAATTGTACAAAATAATAGCTTTATGTTTTATATACTTTCGAAAGCATAGTAAATTGTCGCATATATCCGATGCTTGTTTTTAAAATAATGCTAGTATAAGGCCGTTTAAAGTAGGTTATGTATTTGTTTACCCGTCCGGAATATACATTTGTTAAAATGTGATAAAATTATAACAACATACTTAACATTAGTCAATGAGATTCTTGGAAAATGCTACATTTTACAAGTGTTTGACAGCGTTCGGTAAAATTGTTGTTATAAGTTGTTCACAATATCTGTATACAAAGATGCTCTGTATTTGCTGAAATAGGTACGCTGATTCATAACTCGTCTATTTGTTTCCAACGCATGCAAAGAACGTAGATGTTGGTCACCTCATATGTAATAAACAATCATCATTCATATGTCCTGCGCAGTTTAACAGAAGATAATAGTATGCACTTATAAATCATTTTGTTCCATTTTGGAAAACACACGCTGCATTATTTCTGCAAACAAATGAATCAATATAAAACTTCCATAAAACCTATTGTGAGATTTATGTATCAATTATGCAAATAGTGTAAATTGAAACATATATGCTATCGGAGATAGAATAATTTAACTTTAAACTGCGGGAAATAGTAATTATCCAAAGTGTTTTGTCGTTCAAAAAAAGAAAGAAATAGAACGTAAATTGTCAAATATTTTACGGAATGGCAACAACCTTTTAAACATGCTTCTATGAATATCGTAAACTCAAAAAAGTTTATTACGTCATTATTTATATAAGTCAGATTCATT